GCCCGGCTGAGCTCGCCCAGGCGCTCCGACGACTCGTCGATGCACTCGGCCGCCCGCCGCTTCCATTCGTCCAAGCGCACCGCCAAGGCGGACGCCTCCACTGCTTCATTGGGTCTCATTGAAATGATCAGAGAAAAGGAAGGTCCCGAGAAATTAAAAGGAAGCAGTTACTACTCAGCTTTCCGAGGAGATGAACAGAATAATAATGCTGAATAAAAAATACGCCTAAACAATAACCAACACCAGCATAACCCACCGACCAAAGTCTAAACCTCAAGCTGCCCGAGAGTCATCTTATATATCCTCGGTTATTTCGCAACTCTTTTCCTGGAGCTTGCTGGGAATAGTAGTTTTTTTTAATGTAATACTCTAGAAGTATTCCTGAACTGGACTTCCGCCAGAATACCACCATCATGGCGCTGATGTGCGAAACTGTAAACAATGTAAAAGAAAACATGATGCTCGTTTCTAAAAGCGATGGATTGCAATGCCATTTTTTTTAATCTATCGATATGATTGCATTTTCACAGCTAGACCCGATATTGCCAATATTTATTGTATTTCTATGTTATTCTTGCTCAAATGCAAGGCATAATTTAATCCATCCCTACTTATTTTCTGGAAGTCCCTCAAGACCTGGCTGTATCATCTGGCTTGGGGATCTCAGGGGACCGATGAAATCTTGAGGTGGCTCCCTTGCTGATCTAATCTCTTGTGTGTTTTATCCTTTATTTTTACTTTTTAATCTGACTGCTTTTTACATATTTATTGTTTTTATATTTTTTGCTGTATGCTGCCCAGAGTCACTTCTTGTGAGATGGGTGGTCATATACATTTGATAAATAAATGAATACATAAATACATAAATAAATTTAAAAACACATTTCTGGGCTACAGCTTGATCCGTTTCACTTCCTATTATGCTGAGAAATTTAAGCTACATCTAGTTTTACAAAGTAATTTAAGAACAATAAATATAACAAAATATTTATATAAACATTTTCTTGAAACTGATCAGATTTATCTGACAAATATTGAGGATATTTTTATCCAGCACATTGCATCAGATAAACATCTGTATTTTTGTACCATGGGTGTGTAAAATTCTGTAACTTTCAATTGGTCTACAACAACACCATCTGTTAGGGTCACATAAGGACCTATTATATCATGTTTAATGCAGCCCCTGCAAGTCTCTTCAGTATTTAGTCAGGAAGGCTTAATCTAAAGCTTTTGATAAAAGTTTAAAATAGATATGACTACTTCTATCCCCAGGTATTTTTTGAGCCTGCTGAAATGGAAGGAAAATGAGTAAAAAAACAAGCGACGGTTGACTGAAGTTGGCAAATCTTATGTTACTGCTCACTATAGGTTTGTAGCAAAGATGGAGACGATTTCAAGTCAATATATGCTGCCTCTTCACATCTTATTCTCTTTATTCTTCCCATGTTTCCTTGGGAAGCCCCTACATCACCCTCTCTTTTGTCTTGCAGCTTTCATGAAGTATTTCCCTAGGCATAAATAAAATTTACTTTTAAGTAAACAGGATTACATTAAGCTTTGTAGTGCTTCTATACATTATGCATAACAGCTGAACAACCTGTTTCCTATTTAGGGATAACAAAAAGAGAGAAAATAGCAGACCAAATGCAGCAGAACAAGATAAAGTATAACATTATTTTGTAGTTTAAGATTACGTATACATTTAAATCAGAGGTATGAGATACCAAGATCATTTAAAAGAAAGCAAATTATAGGAAACATTGCCTTAATTCAGCCAAAAAAACATGATTTATTTGCTGAGGCTAGTGTGTACCGAGAGAGCCAGTTTGGTGTAGTGGATAAGACATCAGGCTAGGAACTGGGAGACTGTGAGTTCTGGTCCCATATTAGGCACAAAGCCAATCGGGTGACCTTGGACCAGTCATATTCTCTCAGCCCTAGGAAGGAGGCAATGGCAAACCACTTCTGAAAAACCTTGCCAAGAAAACTGCAGGAACTTGTCCATGCAATCACCAGGAGTCAAAACTGACCTGAAGGTACACACACACACACAAAATGTGTACCTACTGAATAGGTTTTTTTAATCCGCTTTCAGTGACCGATTCTACAGAGACTGCCTGGACGAGTCCCTGCAGTTTTCCTGGCAAGGTTTTTTCGGAAGCGGTTTGCCATTGTCTCCTTCCTAGGGTGGAGCCCAGCTGGCAGTCGCCGGAAATCAAGTGTCTTTCATTGCATTGCGTCCAGCAACTGGCAACCGATTCCCGTTTTCCTGTGCAAGGCGCCGCCAGCATTTTTCCTCCCACCAGGGTTAGAGTACCTATTTATCTACTCACTTATACTTTCAAGCTGCTAGGTGGGCAGGACCTAAGGGCACAAGATGGGAGCTCACCCTGCTGCGTGGAGCTTGGGCTCGAACCGCTGAAGTGTCAACCATTTCTGGCCGGCAACTTCCAGCGTCATTAAGCTGCTGCGCCACCACTTCCCCCCACTGAATAGTAAGTCCCACTTAATAAATACATATATCATGCCAGCCCTCACCCCCATCATGATCAAACCTAATTCTTTAACAAAGGCGCCATCTGGACCAGAAAGAGGCACTATTTTGAAGGTTCTGAAACCAGATTTTGCATGGGACAGAAATAGCATTGGTTGGTCTGATGGATGACCTTAACCGGGAACTAGTTAGGATTGTGCCCCTCCTGTTCCTTTTAGACCTCTCAGTGGCATGTGAACCACTGACAATAGTATTCTTCTCAACTGCCTGCAAGATTTGGGAGGACTGTTTTATGGTGGTTCTGTTCCAACCTAAGAATGCAATTCCAGTAGATAGTTCATGGGGGAAGAATGGTCAAGCCCATGGCTACTCCACTGTGTGCTGCCACAGGGCTCAGCTCTCTCCCCTATCTATTTAATATTTAGAGGAAACTGCTAGGAGAGATTATCTACCACTTTGAAGTGAGGTATCAGTGCTGTGCTGATGATCTTCATTTATACTTTGCCAGGCCAGGCCAGAGATGCTATGAAGGTACCAATTTGGTGGTTGGGAGGCTGTGAATGAAGGCTGTAGATGAAATGAAACAACCTCCAATTGAAACCTAGCAAATCCACAAAACCTTGACTCTTATTTGGTTCCAAAAACCAGGAGTCTAATAGCACCTCTTCAGACTAACAAATTGTAATAAAAGGCATAAACTTTTGTGAGCTACACCTACATTTCTGTAGGTTCCAGAATTACAATTAAAAGTTTTGCCTTTTAATAAAATTCCATAGTCAGAAAAGATACTTCAGTAGAAGAGAACATATGTAGCTCAGGGCTGAACTGTTGGATTCTTGGTGGTCTCTGAGCATGGTTGTTGTCTTGCAGACATTTCATGTTACCTAGCCTGGTAACATAGGTTAATGTAGGTTAACATGGCTCTCCTCCTCCAATGCCTGATTTAGTTCCAGTGGTTGTTCTAGATGGGGTCAAACTCCCCTTTAAGGAGTGAGTTCCTGACTTTGGAGTTCCCCTAGAGTCACAGCTCCTACTAGAGTAGCAGGTAGAAACCATGGCCTGAGGGAGCCTTTGTTCCCCTTAGACTGTTATGCCAGTTTCAGCCCTTCCTTGACTATGAAGCCTTGGTGACAGTCATTTGGGTCCTTATCATCAGTTTAGACTATTCTAATGTGCAGTAAGTGGGGCTGCCTTTGATGATAACTTGGAACCTACAACTGGCATAAAAAGCAGCAGCCGTACTTCTGACAGGGGACAGCCACGACTACTGTACAGTATAATACCGCTACTTTGGTTGCTTCACTAGTTCCCAATTGGCTTATATATGCAGTAGCTTTAACCTAAAAAGCCCTCCACAGCTCAGCTTCCAAATGCCTTGGAGTGTGTCTGCTTCAGATGGATTCTGCCCATCCTGTACAGTCATCTACAGAAGGGATGGGTCCCCCTCAAGAGGTGAGGGGGGCATGGACTGAAAGGCAGGCTTTTCTTATGGTGGACCTACCACTCTGGAACATTTTGCCCCCCCAGGAGTGCATCTGGCTCTTTGCTTTTTGTTTTCTGCAAGGCAGTAAAAATCATTTTGTTTTGAGACTTAGTGGTGATGGTGGGCTGACTTTTTAGTTGGGATTTTATTTTATGGGCTGGAGACAGTGGGTGGTTTTAGGTATGTTATTTTACTGGACTTCTTAGTAGTTTGTTCAGTTTTTATGCTTACAAGCAGACCAGAATCTTGGGATACAGGGGCGTAATATTAAATAAATAATAAACATGCTACTCTTGCACCCCTATGGCCCTCGGGATATTGGTGAATTAGTTTCTGTTAGTAGCCTTTATCGCTGGAGAGCTGAAGAAGGGCTACCAGTTCCTCATTGTTCAAAGAAATTTTCATTCTTTTTGCCAAAACACACTATGACACTGGAATTCTAACAGCTGTATTTTACAACCGCAGAGAGCTCCCCATTAAAGGAAATAAAATAAAAGGGTTGCGGGGGTTGGGGGGAGCCACGGCTACGACCTGAGACATCTGGCCGCCGCTAAAGATGCCAGAGCTCGACTGGGAACTGATCCTCTTGCACGTTTTCCAGCTGCACGAGACTCTGCGGGTGGTTTCGGACCCCCGTTGCAAATCCAGCCTCCCTCCCGGGACACTTCCCGCGGTGTATAGCGAGGCAGCGACCTGTAGGAGGAGACTGCGCGGCCTTTTCTCTCCCCACCTCCGGCTCTCGCCATTGTTCCCGCCCCCTCGCCGACTGTTTCGGGCCTCTGCTCGCTGTGGCCGCCGCGGCGCCGCTCGCCGTCTCCTTCTCGGCCCCTTCTCCTTCCGCCGCCGCCGCCTCCAGCTCGAGCTCGCCTTGTTGGTCTGTTCCCGAGGGGAGATCCCAGGCCCCGACTGCCATGTCCCGCTATACGCGGCCTCCCAACACCTCACTCTTCGTCAGGAACGTGGCGGGCGCCAGTAGGTGAGAGTTTGGGGGGGGGCGGGCTGCGGATATTGG